ACGCAGTTCAGGTGCGTGGTACCGGGTCGCATCCGCACGTGTCGGTGTCGCGGGGTTGACGGTTTTTGGTTTTCTCCGCAGCAGGCCAGGGAACCGAGCCAGGACGAGGGAGGGAGGGAGCCCGCAGGAGCACTGCGAGCTGGGAGGAGAGGAGGAGGCGGGGCTATGTTGGACTCTGTAGGTGGATCCACTCATTGCTGAAGTATCTGGTTGGGTGTTTTGTGGCAGCGGGATTGAGGAGAAGGAGGAGGAGAGTCGGCTTGAGAGGGGGCGTGTTGGTCTCCTGCAGCCATGTTGGAGTTTAAACCCGTTGCTGCAGGGCCGTGAACGCGTTACTTTGTGTGGAGCGTCCTGTTGCCACATCGACCGCTGATCTCTCTGCTCAGCGTGGCCGTGTAGCGTCGTTTTGCGAAGCACTTTTGTCTTTGTGTGTCGGCGTTTCCATTTTGGTGTTTCTGTGCGCGTGCTCTGCCGCCGCCGCCGGTGTGCAGCCGTGGATTTGGGTTGGCGCTGTGTCTGTTGCGGCTGCGCAGCGAGCTGAAGACCATGGTGCAGCCTGTCACCGTGCAGCGGTGTTTGATCTTCAGGTGGACGGCGTTGTAGTGGATCTTCAGCGTTCCTGCACAAACATAGGGAGAACGGTCGGTTGAGGACGAGCAATGAGACAACAACAGATTCCTTTCTGACAAACACGTCACAACTAGTAAAATTATTTAGTTTAATGTCTGCAGATCAGTAGAAGACCTTGAATTGAGACCTGTGGAACCCCAAAATAAAAGATCAGCACAGGACCTAAAGTTTTTATTTGATTTGTATGCCTTTATTTGACAGGACGGCTGTAGATAGACATGGTAAGGACTACATGGGGAGCGTAGTCTCAACCAGGTGAGCTATAGCGCTCCCCGGACCTAAAGTTAAACTCTCTGGAGCCTCAAGACAAAAGATTAGAACTGGAGACACATTATTACCTTTGTCGTAGAAGCTTTTCCCACAAACGCCACAGCAGACCCGCCCTTTCCGACCTCCGGCAGGTGAAAGAGAAGGGAAGGAGCAGAGGGACGAGGGGAGAGGGTGGAGAGAGGAAGAAAAGGAGGAGGAGGTAGGAAGAGGACAGAGGAAGGAGGAGGAGAAGGATGGGAGAGGATTCAGAGAGTAGGAGGAGGAGCTTTGAATCTTTTGAGACATCTTCTGAGGAGAGGAGGAAACTGACGGATGACGTGAGGAAGAAGAAGCGATAAGAGAGGAGTTTAAGGAAGGAGAGAGCGAGGAGGTGTACTCCTGTTTGGCCAGGCCCCCTTGAAGGTCGACATCCTGGTCCTGATGCCATATCGACTGCGCTGGGTTTGGCCTGTCAGGGTCTGCTTTGATTTTTAAAGCCGGTTCACATTCGTTCTCTTGTCGACTTCGTTCCTGCCTGAGTCTGTCGGAAAGTTTGTTCGCGCTGAACTTCTGTAGACATTGTGTTACCTTACAGGGATCCTGATGAAAGAATAAAGAGGAGGTTTATAAGAAGTTTTGCAGGTTGTGGAACAAAGAAGGTTTGAAGAGAAAGCAATTTCATTACCTTAGTGGGAGGAACCAAACAGGGAAAGTGGAAAGGCAGAAGCAGAGACTGGTGGACGGCGTCGTTGTGTTCAGCAGGAATGTTTTTCTTGAAACGACAGACGCCGGCGACTAAACGTGAATCTCCTCTCGTGTTCCTCAACGCTCCTCTGTTACGCTCGATGAACGCGTCAACATCGGACTGGCAGCTCTTCGGGTTTGGTTCTGGATCAGAGAGGCGACCGACAGCCACCAGACACTGGAGCGTCATCAACTCCACGATGGGGCGTGTCTCACCAAAGCGAAGGAACTGTTTGAGGATGAGCAGTTCTTCTTCGGGCGTCACCATCAACCAGTGGTCCAACACCTTCCCACTGGGGAACTGGAGAGAAATGAACCTAAGAGGGAGCTGGGATGGGATCATAGCCGATATATATAATTATAAATAAAGCTTATATTGATACGTTACCTGCAGCATGTATCCTCTAACATAATCCCCCAAACTCCAGCCGAGTGTGTGCAGAATGTGGCCGACCTGAAGGAGACAGAAAGTCATCTATACAAATCTGTTACACATCAATCGTAGATAATAGACAATATAATAAACGTTCCTGGTACCTGTTCTGGAGTTAGGACGCTGTAGAGTCGGTCCAGAAGAATCTTTAGCCGGACGGGAATGGCCTGAGCTCCGTAAAGGACCAGGGAGCTCAGGTCGAACACCAGCCCAGGAAGGGCCACCTCCACTGGGCCGCAGCTGGGCGGTTGCTGGGCCTGAAAATGGAGCTTCTCCAAAGCTGGAGAGGAAGAGGACGAATTATAACGACATCTCGTTACGGCTCACTGATAACATTTACTGATTCAAGTTTAATAAATAACGTCTGAATATCTGAAAGACAAAGTAAATATAATCAAATATTATATAACTTAATAAAACTTAAGATAAGATAAAAATATATTTTAAGTGCAAAGTGAAAGTTAACTGATGTGTATCAGAGACACGGAGAGGATGTCAGTCTGTGTGTGTGTGTGTGCAGATGTTCCCGCCAGATGTTCGTGGTGATGTGATGACAGCGACACCTGACTTCATGTCACCGTAGCGACTAAACACATCTGCAGTGTGTGTGTGAGTGTGTGTGTGTGTGTGACGAGTCGACAGAGCAACAGGAATGTTTTTTACATTTTGAAAATAAAGAAGTTGGTTCGTTGTTGTTGGAAACAGGAAGTGAGCGGATGTTTTAGATTTTAAATCTTAGTTTGAGTTCTTCCAGTTTCTTTAGCTGCTTTATAGTTTGTATCAGTCCCTCCAATCACAGATCAATACCAGTTTGATTATTGCTTCTCTTTCCAGTGTTTACTGGTCATAAACTCCCAGTTTGTACGTTATTATTCATCCTTATTAGTTCCTGAGTTAACTTCAGGAAGAGTTAGAGCTGTAGCTATAATAATGTGTGTGTGTGTG